GCGACCCTCAGATTGCGAGTCGAGTGCCTTAACTACCTGGCCATGCCGGGCCACTAAATAGATCTATAAAGTTTGAAGCAAAACAGAAAAGAAACATGTAAAACTACTATCATGGTTGTGGAGTTCCATAGAATGGGGGTACCGTTCAATAAAGTGATTGCGAAAGATATTAAATAGACAGAGGCAAGAAATAAGTTAAATAACAGATACAAAAGCAACAAGTTAGTTTTAAGCTTAAAGTTTCATGCAAGAGAGTACTCATATAAAAAATCAGGTGCTAAAACTAAAATGTTCTAGTGAAATTAAGTAAATCTACTAGAACAATGTCTAGCAGAGCATCGTAAGAGAGTGAGTTGTATTGTTGTCGTTGTATGTTGGTGTTGCAGGATAAGTCTTATATTTAGGCTCTGACGTAACTTTTAATTAAGTAAACTACTAAGAAAAATATAAATCATAGAAAGGGCTAACAAATGTTGGCATGGCGTTTTCAGAAGAGTGGAAATTAGTAATAAATCTGTTGCTTACGCCTCTGGAAGAGCTTAAAAGAAAAGAAAATCATTTTTCTGCACATTATTTATACCCCTTAAGGTGGATTCCTGTACGTGGTGAGGGGACCTCCCAGGGAAGATTCTGCACTTTCAGTTTATCTCCTGTGGGATCTGAACATCTACCCATGTGTTTGTCGGGCGTGGCGGAGGAGAGGATCTTGGTGGTTGAGGGGTGTGATTGATGGGCCCTTTATGTTGGTGGCACTTAAACACATCACTTTGGCTTTGAATTCCTGTAGATAGGTGGCCTTCGGGTGGTTCTCTCAGGGTCAGTTGGCTGGTCTGCTCGGGCTAGGGTCAACTAAGTACCAGTGTTAGGTGTTCTCAACGGGTATTGTGGACCTTGTGCCTGATGCTGATGTTTGGTGTAGTGCCCACGAAACTCCTGCGTCTCTACAGTGCTCTACTTTAACATTGTTGTGCATCCCTTTGCAGGACTCCATGGTGGGTGGAGTCAGTAGCCACCGAAGTTTTCCATTTTCATGCATTAGAAATTTTTGCAAATATTCTGTCATTCGCTCCAGAAAAGTTAGTTAGATGAAGAAATTAATTAATTGTTTTTTCACGTCCTTTATACTGATCTAACTTTAGGTCGTCGTGAGCAAAATCAATTGCATTGGCAAATGAGGTACTGAAGATATGTGTTGCTAATTTTACTTTCATGTTATGTTTTTATGCATTTTACTTAGTTCATATGCAACATGAATTCATTCTGAAAATTGTAACTCATGTAGTGATGCTACATAAGACTATGAGATTTGGGTTTTAAAAACTGTTAGTTGCTTAAATTCTGTAAATACATTTCGCAGTAATTTTACCTTGCATTAGACATCCAATATGAAATAAGCATTAGAACTTTCAATGACATTTGGTAAATCTATCTATATATTACTAAAACTCTGAGATTGTTTGTGTGTGGGTTTGTCTGTAATTAAATACAGCAAAAACGGCGCACAATAGCGCCATATTTGTAATGAAATGAGAATAGAAACAGAATAAAACAAATTTCGTTAAAATCGGGCCACGGGTTACTGAGTTAGCCCCGTTTTTCGGGTCACTTTAATGAAAAATTCTAAATAAATTTAGGTACACTAGATGACGCCACATATCAGATTATCTGTCTTCGATGACTGATGATGACAAAACCTTGTCGAAACGTTGTACATTTGCTGTTATATTAAAGTTTTTCTTCATTACCCATTCAAGCCGTCTCCAGCCATTATTAGATCACTTATATTTTGATGTTAGATACGGATGCGAACACATGCACGAATTATATAGGCTGGAGTGTGCATGACGTCATATTCACTGTCCTCGAGCGCCATATTTGAAATTTGTACAGTTCTCTGGCATGTATAAGTCAGTGTTCGTGAAAGTAATTACATATGTTGTTTCATCGGTCAATATTGACATTAAAAAGTTCAAAACAATTTCAGCAAAAAAAACTCTATCGTTATTTAAAGGTTAACAAACCATATAACGACTACATTTCCAGTGTTTATCCATAGCAAAAAATCCGAGTAGGCCTAAATCTAATACTATTAGTATTAATGTTAATATAGTGAGGTCCTAATTTACTAGACTGTACTACGAGTAGTCACTTCTACTACGAGTACTAGTAAAGTAGGATATTAGTTCTAGATCTGTCGTATCAATATGAAATTAGTCGTCTAGGCTTTAGCAACACTAGACTAGTATTACAATTAGTAATATCTGCCGTCATGTTTTGCTGCCGTTGTTGCTTCGTCCGATGGAAAGTCGGAATAGTTACATAGATTAATTATTGTTATAATAAGTATTATAGTAATACTATGACTAATAGTAGTAAGCTAATTAGATCTATAACATATCCAACAAGATGCTGTAAAGTACAAAAGTCTGAAAAGGCTATAGTCACGATACATGGGTAAGCCTAGAGGACGTTCTCTTACGTAATTCAAGATGTTTACTAAACACTATTTGCTTCATTGTTATTCAGTAAAGTAATACTTAGTAAAGTAAAATTATGTAATACTAATAGGCCCAACAAATAAGTTAATTCTATTGAAATGCATTTATAGACTGAGGTTGAAAACTACACTGCGATAGTTTCTAGGTAGCTATAGACCTGTGGGGTTTATAATGTAATAACTAACCTAGAATTACTTTTCAGTAGATTATAACAACCAATGAACCATACTCTCTTTCCGCTAAGCTTTAAAATTAAAGCGCAACAAGAAGCACAGATAATTTGTATAGCTTAAAACTTGGTGTCAATTTATACGTAAGTGCTGTGGTGATACATGAAATCAGTATCAATAAAGTGTTGCAAGTAAGTGGAGTAAACGTTACATACTCTAGACCTTCAATTGGATCTACTAATTAGTATTATAACTTATAAAGAGTACTGCAGATTTAACAGTTAGGCCTAACGTTACGTCATTTTTGAACGCTCTTTTATACCGCTCTCATGTACAAGTTCATTCAATAAAGAGTTTTTTATTATTTCTTAGTGAACAATTGACAACACAAGAAGCGTATGGCATTGTTAGCAGTTGCCAAGTTCCCTTCTCTTCCAGGATGGCGCATAGAGAAAAAATAGCTAATTGTAATGTGACGTCACACGCACTCTAGTTTATTAATCTTTATGTGTGCGAAACCTTCGCGGAGTTTTTAAAAAAGTCATTACTCCACCCTAAAACTACTAACGAAATCTTGTTTGTATCAGTATCATTAAGAATTTTCTCGCAAGTACTTATGGATTTTTTTTGTAACTGTAGTACGTATAATGAAATAACCCAAATAAAAAACTTTGCTTCTTTTTGTCGTTTTGATCATAAAAAAAAATATGGCAGTTCTGAAAAGTAGTCCTCCAATTACCCAATATTATATCGATATTATGACATAATGAGAAAACAACAACAAAAAGGGTGGATTATGCGTAGTCGGGCATGCGAAGTAATTACACTGGATGAAAAAAGAAATAAACGTTTTCAAGTGACCCTATTCAAAACAATCCATGAACAGGCCTCCGGTTACCTTACCCCACAGACCTATTAAAGGCCTTAAAATTAAATGAATAATTCATTCCGCCTATTTCCGATCGCAACATCGATCGTAGTGAGATAGAGGGCGGTTTTTCAGTAATAAAGGATACATGTATAGTCCATGTTTTTAAACCGCTGACAAGCTTACGGTAACTGAGAAGATAAAAATATTCTGTCATTTCTTGATCTAATTCTAAGTAATCTACATATACATAATACACACATGAAACGAATACTTTGTTTTACGTCTCTGAAATTGCGTAACATATAAACATTTTTTAAATGACGTTTGTTAGGTAATATGTAATTTAAAACAAACTCGCATTTATATTCAGTCCCAGAAAATGCAATACTTTATTCAATTTATCATGAACTTTAAGATTTGTTTAAGCATGGGCAATAACAGTTGTCAACATGTGACAGTCTCCTTTGTGGTTTCTTTGTAGTAAATGTGCCCGTTTTTCTTCGAGGAGATGTCGGTTTCCGTTGTGCCTGTTTTTTATCTTTTACCCCTTTTGGTTTAGGAGAAGGAACAAAAATTTGTCTTCTAACAGGGGGAAGGACTGGCAGTGGAGGCCTCTTGAATAAATTTAAATTGTATAGATCAGGTGCCTTCGAACAATCGAAGTTAAACCACCAATCACATACAAAGTATCGCTGATTGAAAACAGTCCCATTGACACAGTAAAAACTGGCGTTTCTTCCATCGGGAAAACATACGTGGTAGATCTGAAAAATAAGATAATGACAGGAATCAGTTTCTCTTTTATTTTATTTTTCAAGATAAAGGCACCAAGATGTAAAAAATATTTCTGTAATGAACATAAAAAATAAAATTTGTATTATTCACATTTAATCGAAAATCGTTTCATTTCTGCAAATAATAGCGCTAACGTAGGTTAATCTAAACCTTCACATATAACACTTATGTTTGAACACAATTAACAGAAGATACTAGCATTGACAAAATTCTGGTATTTTAAGATACTGTTACGACAGCGGAAGTCGCGTGAAGCTGGGAGCATGCGCGCTGGAGTTTCTCGAAGGATCATGAATTATCGGGGAGGCTCGAGTTTGTTCGAGGCGCCCTCTTTTTTTAGTATATAAGCCTTGCGAGAAAAACCAGCGGGATTGAAGATATAGAGATAGATAGTCAAGCGAACAGTAGGCACCGTAAGTAAAGTGTGTGAATCACTGTGATTTTATAGCGTGTGTTATAAAGGTTGTTAAGTTTAAAGTGGCTGTGGAAATTCTGTGTATTAC